CTTCTGGTAGAGTCCACGCGATAGTGGCGACAACAGGTGCAAGGACACCGACGTGCCACCCGCACTCTCTCCAAATATTGTTACGTTGTCGGGATCACCACCGAATGCTCTAATATTACGCTGCACCCACTTAAGCGCTGCTACCTGATCTTTCATACCAGCATTACCTGGAGCCTCCTTTATTCCTAAACATAAGAAGCCTTCCAAATCTAATCTATAATTGAAGGTGACGAGTACGATGCCTCGAGTGACGAGATAGTCAGGTCCGTAAAGTAAGCGAGATCCCGAGCCCTCCTTGAAACCACCGCCGTGGATGTACACCATGACGGGCAGCGGCGCGTCAAGGTCCACGGGCAAAGGGCGATACACGTTTAGTATGAGGCAATCTTCGTAACCCAGAACCAGCCACGGACCGTATCGTTGTGGACACTTTATGTGCTCGTTGATAGCGTCGTAGACCCCTTTCCATTTAGGTTCTGGACCTGGTGCCTGAAAGTTAAAGTAAGACATTGAGTATGAAGTATGAACCAGCTTGGCACGCTGCTAGGCACGCCTAAAGGTAATTGTATCTTTTTAAAAAAAATATTTTTTTATATATCTATATCTGTATCCGAACTGTCTGACCTAAGAATACAGCACAAAATATAAAGTAGCGTGGCAATGTGTGATAATTGTGCGTACCGTCATTTTAAAACCTATGATCGTTTCAGTTTCTAGGTACTATATTGCCACCGGTTCCCATAGAAGCAGGTGGAATGTGTAATATTAAATATTTTACTTTGAATTAAATATTTGACTGCATAAGTAAAATATATTCGTTCTGATCTGTTGTAAAAAAGGACCACGAAAACTAACTTTAATATTAACGACCACGTAATAAGCAATTTGGATAGACCTTAAAGGAAAATACAAATGTATGTTGAACAAACGTTTACAAATCGGTTATAGACTCGAGCTGTAAAATAACCACAGTTTCGAAGTGGATCTCAGTAGTTCTGCAAACTTAAGGTACCATATTGTTCAACTACGTTAAAATTTTGTCGCGTTAAAGGATTATATCCGCATGTTCTAACAAGGGACTATAGAATCCTACGCTGCGCGTGGCCTGATACGCACTTTTTCGGTTTTTAAAAGCTTCAGGTTAATAATAGGTCTTGCAATCGACGCATCTTTGCCTATGATTACTTTTTCCAAAATTTAGACAACTTTTTAGTGGGTAAAAAATTCAATTCCCGAGAGGCAGTACAAAATGCCTTTGAAGAGTTTGTTGCCTCCCGTCCAGCTGATTTTTACAAGAAGGGCAATAATAATTAATAAACTGCCAATGCGTTGGCAAAGATGCGTCGATTGCATGGGTGATTACTTCGAATAACAGAAATAAAAAAGTTTGAAAAAATAAGTACTTTCACTTATTGCATACAAAACGGCAATTTCATAGGTAAAGACCTAATAAAAGCGTCTATTAATTGAAAAGTAAATGTTGCTTAATTTTCATGAAAATCAAAAAAGAAACTCTACGTGCCCAGAGTTTCTGATGGTTTTGCTCGTTTTTCCTTAGATACCATCACAAGATCCTCTGTGACAATGGAACCATCGCTCTAGCATACCCTTTGATTCAAACAGAAACTGAACGTTCTAGCGAACCCTTTGATTTAAACTCAGTCGATAGATGATGGAAATATCGGTGTATAAACTTCAAAAAGTACATACGAGTACAGACGAACATAGCACCTCCTTTCTTTTGGAAGTGATGCGACTTTTAACACTGTAATATCATTTCTGTCGAATAATAGTAGTTGTTTGTTGTGAAGCATTTTGTGATACATTTACATAATAAATGTGGTGTAATAACAATCATCTTAATTGGTGAACAGTTTTGACCTGTGTGACTTCTACAGTAGGTTCAAGGCTACGGCTAGTAACATTTTCAGGTTTCACTGAATACATAAACAATATACCGGCAAAGATTGTACTTAATGCAGCTACCTTGAACCTATAATGTGAATCCGAGGTAGCATAGGGTATGCCGAAGAACTGGTAGTGTGAACCGTCAGGCGCCAGACGTCCCCGCAGCGCTCCCTGTTCCACGTGCACCACTGGAGACGGCTGTGGAACCATGCGCGCCAACCACAGAGACCACAACACCAACCACTTCGTTTTGGGGAACATTTTCTCTTCCTCGCTCCACCATCCACTGACTTAATTACACTGTTATACCTAGCACTAATCCACTTCATTATCGTTGTCCGCTGGTACTGATATGTAATCAGTGCGTGTCGTATATCAGTATTATCAATACGTTCTTACTGTTACGCTATATACATAAAGACATTTTGTTGTCACTTCGCCAGTTCACAAACTGACCTTGGCTCTGATTAGATTTCACAAATATTACAAAAGAATTAGTATAACTAAATAGAGCACCTTTCAATGAAAAACGTGAATGTGGTGCCGGGAGCCTTGCTCGATGTTATGAATATGCAGACCTGTTGTCGACTTCACCGACAATAGAATTGAGATCTAAATGAGTGGCTAGTTCTGTAGACCATCCTGTTTATTTAAAAACAGATTCCGACGAATTGAGAACCTCCTCATTTTTTGTTGTCGGATTAAAAGAATATACATTTGAAAATAAATAACATAACTTTTTCTACTATAACAATGCTTGTTACTCTATTGCCTCGGTGGTGCAGTATTAGCATATGCGACTGCTGTGCTGAGGTCTCGGATTCGATGCCCGGGTAGGACAGAATATTTGTATGACCTGCAATTCTTTGTTTCGAAGTTTGGGTGTTTTCTATGACAATATATATGTATTTACAAAAAATAGTATATAAGTATTCTCTCAGCCAATCTAGCTTACGTAGTACAAGCTCTGCTTATTTTGAAACTAGATGGCGTTGTGTGTCAGAATATGATTATTATTATTACGCTCTCTCTTCCCGCGTTTTTCACACGAGAGTGTGTAGGAGAAAAACGATGAGAGATCATATCTGCAACTCTACTACAGTGGAATTAAAACAAACGAGATACTTTAGGAAAATTGAAGCCACAGCTTTGATTTGACTTAGCCAGTTTTCACATACACTCGTGTTTTCTTTTATATGTATATTTTGAAATGGCAGACTGTTGTAGAAGATAAATAAGCAGTTACTTTATATTGATTTTAGAATGTTGTGTGTTCGAATAAATACCTACATTTTAGGATTAATAACAGAATTTGGCATCTATTTAGATTTAAATACTTCTGCCGGAGTGGCCCATGTTCAAATATGTTTATATTTTTGACAGGATTTAATTATACTGAGAGCAAAAACGTATTAATTTCAATTCGTTTCGCGAACGCGTTTCTTTGTTATTTTCAAGAAATTCAAGAAAGAATACAGAATCATAATAACGCCAGAACCACCGACTTAAAAAATGAAAAGGTTATGCTTAGAATAAAGGAATAGAAGACAGGCCTGTTGGTCTAGGTAGTGGTTGGCGATCCTAAATTTGAAGAGGTTCAATTGCCACTATGCTACAAATATTGCGTCTATAATATATTTGAGTTTCAAACTCACACATTGAGTACATAAGTTAGCAATACATATGGGAGGTAGCTGGCAATCGGTTTGCCCGCTATTACTTGTGTGGGACTAAAATTATGGTCTGCTAAATGTGTTCCTTAGATACACGCCTTGTCTACCGCCTTGGGGGTGTAGAAGAAGTGTACGACTGTGACATGATTGTTACACCCCTTCTAAACTTCATTCGATGGACCTGTTGGTCTAGTGTTTAGTGACCCTGAGTACTAAGCCGGAGGTCGTGCGATCAATTCCCACTCAGGACAAATATTGTGTGATAAGCGCGGTCATTTGTTCTGTGTCTGGGTGTAATTTATCTATCATCATCAACAGCCATTACTAGTCCACTGCTGAACATAGGCCTCTCCTTAGAAAGGAGGGTTTGGCCTACTGTACCACGCTGGCCAGACTGGTTGGTATAGGGTTTGTTTCAAGTTTTACTTCTTTTTGCAGTGCTGTTGTCCTGCGTAGTTTGTTCCCTTAGTCGGCTCTTACGACACCCACGGGATGAATAGGGGTGATGACATTCCGTATTCTTAATCCGTCACCACACGGACGAATTTATCTATACTATATATGTTATTAAAATTATCTAAGTATGTTTATCAGCAGTCTGGCTCTGCCTAGTTTGGGATCAGACAGCCGTGTGTAATATGTGTGAGATATTAATATATCTCTATATAATAATTATTTATTTTTGTAGTTGTTTGCCCTTAAGTACGCGTGAAGTGTTCAGTCCTGTCCTGAGTTTCAAGGTAATGTCACGAGGACACCCTCTCAGACGAAGACAAATCTATTGTTCATTGACCTCCCCCTTTCTTTTGAACTCTACGCATTTTTTTCATTTCATGCTTAATGTTAAAAAGAGTCGTTGGAAATAAAATTGATTAAAGTTTATTAAGAAATAATTTCCTTTGAAATAAAAACAAACTCCTTAGCACAGATACTCAGTACAATACATCCATGGTTCTCAAACTTTAACATAATCGGTATTAGACTCCAGTAACTAAAATACTCTGAAGCACAATAAAAGTTATGTGCTATTTACACGAAACAAATTGTGCTCAGTACTTAATGAAATGTTAAAACGAGTCTAGTGACAAAGTCCGATCTAACCAGACACAAGTCATGGGAAGGTAGTTTCATTAGAAGTCCCGCGTGCGCATGCGTTCAGCAAATTGAAATAGACACTTAGTATTGAGCTTTTCATTCCTTAAATTATTTTGATTAAAACTGACTTTGGAAAGTGCCTTATTAAGCAGTTCAGAGAAATAAATAAATGAGTAACATAAATCGTTCACGCCCTTTAGATTTCGACCTTTAGTACGTGTAAGTCAGGCGGCCCCTCCTTAGTGTCTGAGTTCTTGTGCTCATGTGGGAATGTAGGTATCCACAAGACAAAGACTTTGTGGTGAACATGTTTCCTGCATTGTATCATCTGGTCTTTGGCGCGTACATGGAGGTGAAGTTCAAAGGCGCGCGGTACTTGTCGTAAAGGTTGCGCCAGAAACCCATGTGTTGTGGTCGAAAGTCGTGCAGCGGTTTCAGCTGTGGTCTCGCTTTGATGTACAGCGCCAGGAGCGGATCACGCTGCGCCGGTGGCCACATCGCTCTATTTGGCTCCCTGCAACATATAATTAATAAAATATTCAATAATATTCACTTATTTGATCAATAGGTAGATACATGTTCACACAACACATGTACACCGAAATCAGCACTTTCTTAAAAAAAAACGAATACTGAGTATTTGGGAATATCTGTTCGCCTTCGAGAACCTCTACTCGAAAGGTTTGGTAGATTATTAAAGGTAAACAACAAAACATACAAGGATTTTTCTTATAACGGCTAAACGGTTTTTTAAATATTATTTTATTATAAACAATAACATGTATATATAACACATTTATAAAATAAATAGGTGATTTATTTTTAAAATTAAACGGCAAAGTGCCTACGCCTACGAGAACTTGTTTTTGAATGGTTTACATTTAATTAAGTGCTTTAAGAGTCAATATCATCCGCTATTGAACTATAATATATACCGCCCCTGGGTCGGATGGCATAACTGCCATGTGCTATTTGTGCTATTTCCAACCCTTAGCCGTATTACGTCAGGAGACTGTTAAACAGAAGTATTGTCGTCGGAAGATCCATAAAACTGAAGGAGCTGTTTACAGGTCGAGGAGTGCAAGCACATCGTGTTACTGCACGAAACGAGTCCTGCCTGTCGCTACTGCGGCGGTACTGAGGACACAGCTCAGCATTCTTTTGCATAATGCAGTAAGTCATCTACATATATAACTGTAAATTCTGAACATAATGTAATCAAACCTGATACTAACCCATATTTAGCAAAGTTGGTCCATAGAGTTGTCATTGTATTTATCATGTGGTGCTCAAACATAGACGGCATAGGGAATAAGCTGAACAAGTAGAAAATGTCGTCCGCATGTGAGGCGCCGTCCTCCCCCCAGAACTTTAAATTCCCTACAAATTTAGCAAAATTTCTCCAACCGGAATACTCAAACATGTAACTATAGACAGCGGGATGGTCACTGGCCTGTAGCAGCAGCTCGGTCTCGGCCTGGACAGGGTACGTGAAGTACGGCTCGCCGTGCAACAATGACAGCTTTACTATATTGTCCCAGGTTGTCTTGTCATCGCCCATGTATAACTGTTTCACCTGTTCTCCCACCGCCAGCCGCTCTGATTCTGTTGGGAAGTACAGATCAAGCGGGAGCGTTTCTTCAAAACGTATATTTTTCAGCGACTGTTCACTTTCAAAATAAGTAAGGATGTATCCTTCATGATCAGTTGCTCCTATAATAATGGGCACTTTGTTGTACTCTCCTCTAGAGAGCATATCAAACGGCGAGTCTGTTAGAAATGGTTGAGACCCATTTATCTTTCGCTCAATGCACGGTACGTATGAAAAACGTAAATACGCTAATTGTCCGTCTCTTGTTGGTATTTCGGCTTTGATAAGATTACTTATTGTTTCACTTATGAAGAGCTTGTAAATTTGATGCGTGTCTTCAATATCAAATCCCAACTCTTTCGCAGTGGCGATGGCAGTTTGCATTGGTTGATATGTTAGCCCCCACGGTGCAAAAGACGAGCCACTTTGTATGATAGCCTTATGGTAAAGTCCATGCGATAGTGGCGACAACAGGTGCAAGGACACCGACGTGCCACCCGCACTCTCACCAAATATTGTTACGTTGTCGGGATCACCACCGAATGCTCTAATATTACGCTGCACCCACTTAAGCGCTGCTACTTGATCTTTCATACCAGCATTACCTGGAGCCTCCTTTATTCCTAAACATAGGAAGCCTTCCAAATCTAATCTATAATTGAAGGTGACGAGTACGATGCCTCGAGTGACGAGATAGTCAGGTCCGTAAAGTAAGCGAGATCCCGAGCCCTCCTTGAAGCCACCGCCGTGGATATACACCATGACGGGCAGCGGCGCGTCAAGGTCCACGGGCAAAGGGCGATACACGTTTAGTATGAGGCAATCTTCGTAACCCAGAACCAGCCACGGACCGTATCGTTGTGGACACTTTATGTGCTCATTGATAGCTTCGTAGATCCCCTTCCATTTAGGTTCTGGACCTGGTGCCTGAAAGTTTAAAAAGACAACTCCCGCATTTCGAATATATATTATCTTGTGTCGCAGGGGCCTTTACAAACATACATGAAACGGACACTAAGAACACCCAGACTTAGAACAACAATTTGTTGATCTCACAAAGGGTCGTCCCATGTGGGGATCGAACCCACAACACTCAGCGTATTACTAAGCGGCGTGGCGACCGCTTAAACCATTACGCCATCCGTGCAGTCTTCTTAAGTATGCCTACTAAACAAAATTTATTTATTAATATAAGAATATGTGATTCCTTACATAGAAGTATTAATATTAAGATTATTAATGAATATTTCTGTTCATTTGCGAAATTGGATGAAATAGTACTAATTATTATTTTTGATTTTAAAGAGGGGCTTTTATTGTAACTGTTTTTTTTTCCTATGCCTTTTTAACATTTGGTATTTACCTAAGTTTTAAGTACCTAAGTTTATTGCTGCTGAAAGAAAATTGTGTTTTGGCATCATCTTAATTTGTGCAGAGTTTGGACCCGTGTGTTCCGGATTCTTTTGTATTTTACAATAGAAACTGAAACACACATAAATTACCCTCGCTCGATTTATTAAATGTTATGCTTCCAGAGACATGAAGAACATTTAGGTTTCACTGAATAAACAAAATATCGGCAAAGATTATGCTTAATCTAAATTGATACCTTGAACCTGTACTGTGGATTCGAGGTAGCGTAGGGTATGCCGAAGAACTGGTAGTGTGAGCCATCAGGCGCTAGACGTCCCCGCAGCGCACCCTGTTCCACGTGCACCACTGGAGACGGCTGTGGCACCATGCGCGCCAGCCACAGAGACCACAACACCAACCACTTCGTTTTAGGGAGCATCTTTTCTTCCTCGCTTCTCGCCATGCACTGACTTGAGTTAAATGCTACACCTAGTATTAATCTACTTCATTATCATTGTTCCTCGATAATGATCGAGCGAGTTATATGGATATCAGGGTTATCAAGACATTATTACTGTTATGTTATTTATACATTTTTTTTTTTTTTTTTAAATATTTTGTTGCGGCATTACAAGCTGAACTACTGATCTCAGCTCTGATCACAGACGAAGTGACACAACAATTCATTTGATTATTTTCATAATAGCTGCAGGGAGTCCTTAGATCTCTGAGAACGGATAATATTGTACTCGTATAATCCATTCTCAGCCGACTCCTAGTCTAGTCCTGCGTCCCGGAATACACACCCTATTTATATTATGTTTACGAAACTTCGACGAAAGGTGGGCAACCATGGCCACCTTTAGTGTAACTTGACAGCTGAGCTTCTTTATCAGCCGTGCATAATACCATATTTCTATTTCGTTCTGTTATGTCGCGTAGTAAGTTTAAATAATTTCGTGTTATAAAAATAATGAATTGAAATAACCATTTTATCAACACTCCTTTATCACTTATTATTTAAAGTATTGTATTAATTTTTAATTTTTTTAGATGATAATTACGATACATATAACAATTTTAAAAAAAACTTCAAAAATCTGTATAATTAACTTTATATTTAACTACAGTAATATGAGGCTAGCTTTTAGTATATAGTGTGTAGATGTGGCCGCTGCTAACAGTGGTGTCTAAACAATGACAATTATAAACGTACGTCAAGCAATACAAAGTTATGTATATAATACTTGTTACAGGATCACGTTAATTAATGTTTACGCAAATGTCACCATTTCTTGTGATAAATTCGTCACGCGAATTTGTTTTAAAGTCATGCAAGTATAATAAAAAGTAGCTGCATTTATTAACGTGTAGTCTTGGAGCTCATACGTTTCAAATAACCGATATGGAGAAACATTGGGCACGTATCGTCTTGGCGCTGGTTTGTATTTGTGTACACGTCGGCACATCCCAGGACCACGTCCAGGAAAATATGTCCTGTGTTAACTCCACGATCGGTGAGTGCGGCGCGCCCGCTCTTTCGCATTCGTAATCGCATCAATTGCCACGTTGCGTTGCGGCGTCTAAATGATTAACGGAGTTTTCGTAATAGGAATCATTTGTAATGAGCCTTCATGATGGTGAAGGGTATGCAATTTATACCGGGTCAAATGGGTCCGATACGAGAACAAACATTACGGCCACCTCATCATAGTTTCTAAAGCTCTATCTAGATCTGAACTCACAAATGTCGAATAAGTATAGGTAAAGTTGATCTGGTAAAACATCGTAGTCCATTATTGTTTCAACAATGTGTTGTTTACTTTATACGTACCCTTTTTTCGGATACCACCTATCGGTGGCATGTCGGATTCGAACCGACTAAAACCGCACGCCGTCTCGGGTACTAATAGCCGGGGAACCAGGTATACCCTAGAAATCCTAAACACCCTAAATGTTATTTATTGTCCCATACTTGCAGTTACTTCACAATTATTTGTATTTCAATTTACTCATATCATTTAGCGTCTAAACCAGAACTAATTGTCAATGTATGTAGTAATTACTTAGAATAGAAAATAAATCGACCAGCGGTACGGCGCACCTTCATATGACGCCTACAGCTGCGTGAAGTATTATAAATGAGTATGTAAAATGCAACATTCCTAATGATATTGATTATGTTGAATGATGGGACGAGCAGGTCACGAGACAACCAACGGTCGCCTGTATGTGTACCAGCTGCAGCGATGGACCGAGTACTTCAAAATAAATGTCCCCAAGTGTGAGGTACGTATTCTTTACATGCCTAACTTTATCTTTTATAGGGTTCATTTTTCCTAACAACTAACAGTCATAGTTTCGCATATCCGTCTGTCTTTTCGAGATAATTTTGCATAAATATATAATATTAAGCAAGCAGATAATAAAAAATAAAACGGAACTTATACTTACATTTCCAGATTTTCTTGGAATTTTTTTTCATTCCTTTAATTGCGTTCCCTTACAGTCTTTCGATTCTGTTCGATTCTACCGAAATTCCTGTTTTACGACAGGTAGGATTATCTTTATTTAGTGGGAAGAGAATACTAGTAAGTAAGTAAGTGAACTATCAGAATCGAAATAATGACTGATACTCGCAATATTAGTTAAGTCAACGCACGTAACACTGGAGTCAATGTTATATTAACCAGCTATGTAATACTAAAGGAACCAATTTGATACTAGTATTATTATTGTTGATATTAACTACAAGATATCTATAATTACGCTGCTGTTTATTGAATGATGTAGTAGTAGCAAGCCATGTGGAGCCCCTGGGTCCGACCGAGCTGCTCTCCCGAAGAATAAAGCTAGTATTATTTAATCTGAGCTCAAATTATTTTGATGTTTTAATTCCCAAGTTTTTAAATAATAAGCAGCAGACAATGTAACTGTGTATGAAATTATGAATAGACGGTCTAAATGGAGTGTCCACGCAGTTTTGAATAGAAAAAGAAACTTTTGTTATTTATTTATTCATCATCATCATCATCAACAGCTTTTAATAGTCCACTGCTGGACATAAGCCTCTCCTTAGAAAGGAGGTTTTGGCCTACTATTTATTTATTTATTATTGTACATTTATTTTCACAAAGTTACATAAACATATTATAAATTAGGTTTAATTTAAATACAATATTATGTACATAGATGTATACAAGTACAAAACATCTTTGCATTGTCTGATAAATGACACCTAAAATTTTTAAACAGTTTTAATAAATATTTGAAGAATGTATAATACTATCATATAAGAATTAATAAGAATGTGTTGGTAGATAATGTACTCCAGTACCTAATACATAATCAAATATAAATTAATTTTCACTTTAACAATGTCTGTTAATTTTCAGTGGGGAGACAGAATTGGCGTGTCAGTGACGGTGTGTGACACGAAGGCAACCACCACTTTGGAACTGGCAAACAGCGACCATGCTTTGATCTATCGGACCGGCGAGATCTATGAGCCCGGACGCGCCCATGTCGTTATTTACTGTAATTGGATTAATTAAAACAATTAAAACTATACTTAACTTTTGCAAATCACTCTATAAATTATAAAAGTTTTGTGATGGTTTAGCCATCGATCACTCACTCCAACATACATCAATCTTCAAAGATTTAACAGTAAAAGAGCCTTGCTTCGTCACTCGTACTTAGCTCGTAGGGTGATACCACGGTCTCACAGACGATCGGTTTTTAATTAGCGTCTCTCTGCTTTTGACCGCGTGTGTGAGGTCACCGACGGCCTAATCCTCACCTCCATCTTAATTCAGGGGGAAGAGAGGACACAAAAGCACTTGTGCCTCTTGGGTAGAAGCCAGTAGCAGGTGTCCTTGGGCGGTGGTAGTTATTCATAATCAGGTGACCCGTCTGCTCGTTACCCTCACCCTCTATATACTTATCACTTTAGTTAAATAGTTTCCGTATCGAGATGCGTTTAAATGTTTATAATGTTTGTAACATAAAAAATGTAACACCTTTTATGTTACAACAACAAAAAAAAGACGAACGAAGTAAAATAAAACAAACAAAACGTCTTTTCGTAGATTGTTGTCACGGTCCAAAAGTCAGTTTATGATAAACTGTTAGCTATGAGAATTATAATGATATTTTTATCACAATGTAATGTGCTCACACACAATTACACGCTAATTATTGGCTAACACACAATCTCGGCTCAGTATCGTACTATACGATACGGTGCGGATACGGTGTGGTCGACCTTTATACTCCGCGCAAACAACACATGAAATTAATTAAAGTTAAAAATGTAAAATTTTCTGCAGAAAACTCCATCCAAGGACTTTAAATTTATATTAATGATCTGAACCTGAGTTGTTGTTTGTTTATCTCTGAACCATCAGTGACATTTTCATCATTTATTTGAGTTGAAATATTGTGCTATAAAACATCACGTTAGGATCTTTGGAGTGGATCAGTGACTATAACCGCACACGAAACTCCAGGGAATGGCTAGTTTAATATTTGTCGAGTAACGTTTTAATGTATTTTTAAATTTAGGTGAACAAATGTTTAGCAGTACACTCACAATAAAAAAAGTCGGTGGGTAGAGTCTCGTTTCGTTTAGTAGAAAGGAACAATCGTTATTGATGGTATTTAACGGTTGTCCCTTTCCAATCATTTTATCTCATAGCTAGTTTGCCTGTGGACGTGATGCCATTCACCAGTAAATCCACCATTTGTACTCTGATCTACTTTATGTTTTCGTGGGTTTGTGTTCTTTTTAGTCACTATATTTTTCTAAAAAATCCCACTAAAAATACTATTTAAGGTACTCAATAATTAAGGAAGCACAAGAAATTATTAAAACACACAATGCAGTGTGGAGAAGTAAGCAGTTACACGGGCAATTTCCGCATAAAGTACTTGATCAAGCCAACATAGATGCAGAGCTTTCATTTAAATGGATTAAGAAACAACAGATAGCGCCCAAATTAGAATCATCATTATTTGCCATACAAGACCAAGCCATCATGACCCGACAGCATCAGCGCGATATACTGAAAGAATCAGTAGACGGAAAATGTCGCATATGTTGCTGCAAGGATGAGACCACTCAGCATTTCATATCAGGATGCGAAAAACTGGCGGGGACCTATTATGTTAAACGACATAATAACCTTGTCCAATACGTCTACTGGTGTCTGGCCAAAAAACACAAAATAGAAGTATCTGACCTTAGGTGGAAAGTAACACTCATACAACCACAAGTCAAAGAAACTGAATCCACTAAAATCCTTTGCGAAATGCCCGTACAAACAGATATCACCGTAACGCACAATAGACCTGACCTTATATATATCGACAAAACTAGCAATAAAACACATTTAATAGACATAACCGTACCATCCGATTACAATATGGGTGCTAAGGAGATTGAGAAATTGAGCAAATACCACCTGTTGAAAACTGAAGTCACCCGCCTGTGGAATACACACACGACTGTTATTCCGATAGTTATAGGCGCAACTGGAATAGTCGCTAAAAGCATAAAAAAATACATAGATAAATTAGGAGCCAACATCGACATAACCATCCTTCAAAAACAAGCAGCAATACACACAGTGACCATACTCAGTAAAGTTTTGGGAGATACGGTATTCATACACAGCACACACGACCAACATACACAAAACACACAGGAATCGCAAAACATGCATCAGTGACAGGACCCACAAACACAGGGCTCGCAACAATCGCCAGGCATACCGCAATCCCCAGACACTCTAGACCCACTCAACATAGCACATACACTGGACACACAACATGCATTAAGCATACGACGGGTAAGAGGGAGAGGACGAGGACGAGGAAGGAGAAGGGCCGCAAATAACAAGCACCACACGACAGACACACACTAGTTAGGTTTCTCTCATACAATGAAACTACACATTAAAAATTAAATTACAGTAAATCTATGCATAATGCATATCTAACTTTATCAATTTGAAGTTATTGGGGACATATCTATATGTTTTTTCCCGTGTGTTACGGGACGGCGTATTTATAAAACCGACAAAAGTCGAGGTATTGAGCTCAACACTCACTAATATAAGGTATATAATAAATAAGTACTAAGAATATGAATGTCAACTTTGTGACATATAAGCTGGAGTTGACAGATCGTATTTGTACACCACCACACACACACAACATTAATGTTGTGTGTGAACCTGCTGGCGGGTGGTGTATCCATACAAAGATCGATTTGTAACATTAAAACAAAAAATATATAGTAAGCACCTAAAATGTATCATCATGATCTCAAATAAGATAAACAGAGAAAGAGATAAAAAAACAAACAATAAAAAAAAGACATACTCATATACCTACTCCTGCTATACAAGTTTCTAAACGCTTGAACAACGCTGAACTTAGCTTATTTATGTTTTGAAAACAATAAATTTATTTAAAATTAAACCAAAGTATGAGAGCATTACAAGTTGTGAGACGTATAACAGCGCAAGATGATTATTGTCTCCGCAAACTTTTAGTGGCTGTAGGTACTCGAATTCGCTTTGGGCGGAATGTTGCCTTCGGATATTGGGGGGAGGGGGGGGGGGGGGGGTTTGACGGTCCGAGGGGATTTCCACACGTTAAAAAAAAAAATGGTACTATTTCAAACCCTAAGTTACAGCAGTCAGTGCAGCGAAGTCCTTGCACGTGAATAACTTTATCTTATCTTATCTCTTATCTAAACTCATTAGCTACGTTAAAATAAAGCTTCTTAGTATTGCCCCACTGCACAACCCGATCCTTATCACCTTGCAACCTCTGCGCGTCCCACGTGTCTGCTATCGCCAGATATACCCTAAGGTCATCCGCAAACAGTGGACACTCGGCATGCATAAATAGGATTCCCAAATTGTACCCCTCACTTGTGCCCGAAAAGGTAAAATACTGTCGTAATTTAGAATCTGCGTACTCGCGTCCTGGCTACGTTCGCCAAGGTAGGTCGTGAGAAATTCAAGCAGTTACGACTTGGAACCTAATACCGCTAGCTTCGACAACAGCGCGTCCTTATTTATATATATAAAATATCCATACGCGCGCTCGCTCATACACACACACACATCCATACTCACACCCACACATGCAATACTAATTAATACTAATTAATCATGAACATTATATAAAAGGTAGATAAATAGTATAAATATTTGCATAATAATATTGCTGGTTGGCAGATGTGGAAGGTTACTTTTAGCTCAGGTATTACCTATTTATCCGTGTGGTAAAAGATTAAGAATACGGAATGTCACCACCCTTATTGATCCCGTGGGTGTCGTAAGAGCCGACTAAGGGAGCAAACTACGCAGGACAACAGCACTGCTAAGAGAAGGAAAACTTGAAACAAACCCTATACCAACCCGTCTGGCCAGCGTTATATAGTAGACCAAAACCTCCTTTCTAACGAGAGGCCGAGGATTGTTATAGGCTGTTGATGATGATTGCCTATTTTAATACGAGCTGAACAAGCCTTATAGTGTATTATATACATACTTATATGATTGTCAATATAGTCTGGAAATGTATTGTGAAGAACAAAACTAATAAAGAAACTAGTGAAAGGTACGTCGTAAAAGATAACAAGTTGCTCCCTGTACTTCGCCCAGTCGGAAACTGTGCTGCGCATCAGTCAGCTGACGACTGATTTGCGTATAAATACCTGCGTGTAATACTGATTCAAATAATTCAGAGAACTCAGACAGCACCGCGACTAGTCTATAACCACTGACGTCACCATTTTCACTGCCCTTCGGAATCGATTTTACTCTTATGACTTGGTCGGAATTTTAATGTAATACCGTGATCCAATTATGTTACAACTCTTAGCTAAAACTTACAAAATGTAATGAATGAAATATGTGTTATGAATACACTTGTTGTTATCATTTGTTCTAAATCTTGTTGTTATCATTTGTTCTAAGTCATTTCTTCTAAATGTACTTTGTTCTCTAACAAAATATAAAACAAAACACGGGAATGACCGACATAATTTGTTACTTGAACATTATCAACACACTGTATTACCCGGATTAGATAATTTAATTATCAGCAACTTTGCACTTTGTCCGAGCTAAGGTTTGTTGGTTTTTACTTTATAAATAACAACAAATAATGTATATAGTTGTAAGTATAAAAGTCCACTTCAAATTGATCAGTGCCTATCTTAGTGAGTTTTGGTATGAGTCTGCAACTGTTAAGGCCCCTTAATAATTAGTGATTTTTACTGCACCGATTAAGATATAGACATCTATGGAAGTAACATAATAAGATGATTGCTGTACGTTTAGCACCCAAGAGTGTACAGATACAAAAGTGCCACATCAGGTGCACAGCCTAAAATACTTTGTACGGCATAAAGACGTAACGGTTCCTAAGTAAACAGTAAGATGGCGCTGTTTTGTATATTTCTTTTTGTATTTGAACTTGAATTTGAATTTTTATGTACTTGAGTTGGTTGGTAGGTTTCAACAATAGGATT